TGATTTCATTGTGCAGGCGTTTCATGAAGATGGACGTGTGTGCGAAGCAAGGCCTATGTAGCCTCAGTGCAATCACCTCTGATCGCGTTTGGCAGGGTCCTGAGATCAGGTTGGGCAGTTCGGAATGATGACATGTTTTGCTTGCAGCATGATGGGTGGTGCATTAATTTGGGTTACAAAGGCAACAGCTTGGCAATCTCGGCGTCAATTCAGCCTGTGCAGGATTTTTCACACGAAGATGAACCTCATATGCTCAATGTTTTCAGTTCGAAAGCAACATGGCAGTTGAATCTGGAGAGCATCCCGCCAGGTTGGTGTATGTACTTCGAGGACCTGGCTATCTGGAGAGGCCGCAGCAGTTGTGGACCCCAGAGATGTTTTTCCAGAGCAATGGGACTATAGAACCACTTTAGTCAGGCGGGGCAGGGATTGGTATGTTTTGGAACACTGTGAAGTCTATGACTATGAGGAGACCCCTTGCGCCCCGTTTGAAGATGGATGTGAGCTTGATGTGACTACTTTGGTCACGTGCGATTTCAAACCTCCTGAATACATGGGATTCGAGATTGAGTATGGACTCCCAAATCGTGAGTATGCAGATGGAGGAATGCAGCCTGCAATCCCAGAGGCAGCAAATGGTGACCTACCTCAGCCAGAAGGAGCAGTGCCAAGCGCAGTACCTGATTTCTATGTGCCTGTCAATCATGACGAGCCAGCAGTTGATGAAGATGCGAAACGTTTTGAGAAGGCGAGTGCAGCAAAGGAGGAAGAGAGTATCACTTTGGATGGCATTTCACTCAATCCAGAAAGCAAACTTGCAATTTTGCGTGGTGCGTGCAAGAACTTGGGCATAGGTCAGTCTGGAGGACGCGCCAAGTGTTATTTCAGAATCAAGCACCATTTGCAGGCACAGCAATTGGCAATGAGTGCAGAGGTTAGCAATGAGCTAGTTTCAGCAGAAAGCCGCGAGCCACGGATTCCTCGAGAACCTCAGCAGCCAGGTGATGTGGTGCAGTCACTGTGTCAGCATGAAAGCGCTTCCTGACAGGCATCGAAGTGTACATCATGAGGAAACGCGGGGCACTCCATGCATTTTGTTTGATTTTTGTTACACTGGTTGTTCTGAGGGGCGTGTGAAGGCATCTGATGACTCAGATCAGCGAGATAACAAGAAGTTGACCGCTTTGATCCTGCATGACTCAGGCACAGGTGCAATCTGGGCTGTCCCTACGCACACAAAAGGCAGAGAGGCATGCCGTTTCATACAGTCTTTGGGCCATGTCAGTGTGCAATTGAGATGTGATAGAGAGCCCAGCTTGGTTGCCCTGGAGAGCATGATTATCAATATTCGGACGCGTATGGGTTACCACACTCTGGAAAGGAACCCTATGGTTGCAGATCATGCAAGCAGCGGTGCAGTGGAGAAAGCAGTTGACACAGTTCGCAAACTGCCATGTGTTTTCCTTCAGCAGCTTCGAGACCGAGTGGATTTGCAGTTCGGGCCTGAGAGCCCTATGTTTGCTTGGTCCTTTGTTCATGCAGCTTGGGCACAACAGATTCAACATTGTTTCTGGAACAGGCCGTACACCCTATGAGTTGTGTAGCGGGTGTATCTACAAAGGGTATCTGGTCCCATTTGGGGAACCAACCATGTGCTACATCAAGCAAGATCAGAAAGGCAATGCGCGTTGGGTGAGAGGAATTTTTCTCACAAAGACAGTCAGCAGCGATGCGCACCAAGAGTGTGAGAAGGTTGGGAGACCCTTGGCAGAACTGCAAGCAGCTGTATGAGGCGGTGAAGATGTATCCCTGGCAGTTCAATTTGGCATTGGCAGGAACACGGATTAAACGCTTTGCCATGCTTGCGGCGCCAGCTGCACCAGTGCCCCAGCCATTGGCAGATGAAGCAGCCTCTGATCCACCTGATTCACATCAGAGCAGCAGGCGACCTTCCAGCAGTAGTTCAAGCGACCAGCACCTGCAGCAACCTTACCAGATGATGCTCCTCTTTCAATGTTGGTTGATGATGAAGGTGGCAGAGGTGTGAAGACTGGACATTCAGGCGGGGCAGAGGATGATGAGCGCCCAAGCAAGCAAGTGCGTGCTGAGTCAAGAAAGGCAGCCAGAGTGGATCCTTCTTCAAGTGATGGAGGAGGACGCGTTCAGACATTGGCAGAAGTTCAGATTGGCAGTGAGCTTCTTTTTCACAATGATCAGGAGGAACATGAATGGCAGCCTGACTGGGAATTTGCAATTTCAGGTGAGGAGGAGGCTGCCCAGTCATGGCAAGATGATTTCGCGCGAGAGTTGCAAGATATTGAGCAACAGCTGTGGTATGATCCCGAGCATGGAGGTGAGCCTCAGTTGAGTTTGGACGCTTTGCAACGCTTGGATGAAATTGCAGATCAGCTGGAGATAGCTCGGATGTCCACTTTGCAAGTTTTGGAGCAAGTGGACAAGTCAATTTCTCAGCAGATTCCAAAGTTCAGCACAAGATTTGTGAGGTCATGGCGTTTGAAGAAGCGCGCCCTGGAGACTGGTGAAGTGGTCGAACAGTATTTGCGAAGGTCGAGGCTGGTAACCAGAGAGTATGCTTTTCTCAATCCTGGACAGGAAGGTTTGTGCAGTCCAGCCACAACCAGCTCTACCACCAAGTTGCTCCCTCACTTGCTCACCGTGGCCAAGGCCAAGAATCCAGGCAGTGACATTTGCTTGACTGCGCTTGACATTAAAGATGCATTCTTGCAGGTGGAACAAGAAACAGAAGTGGCAGTGACTTTGTATGGGCAGACTTACAGACTGCTACGCGTTTTGCCAGGCCAGCGAAGTGGACCGCAGCTTTGGTTCAATGCTTTTGTGAAGAAGCTCAAGGAGAATTTTACTGTACAACAGAGTACTGTTTGTCCGTGCGTTCTGATTTTGGAGAAGGATGGGTACAAGGCGCAGATGATCATTCATGTGGATGATGCTTTGGTTTTGGCTTCAAAGCGATGGGTTGACACAGAGCTTGTGCCTATCTTGGAGAAGTCATACACACTGTCCAAGGAGCAGCTTTCAGAACCTGGAGACAGTGTGCAATTTCTCAAAAGGACACATGTGATGCGAGAGGATGGGAGTGTGGAGGTCAGACCCTCTACCAAGTACATCAAGCGAATGGCAGAGTTGTGTGGTATTCCTCCCACTGCAAGGCCTAAACCAACTCCGACATTGCAGCAAACGGCAGCAGATGACTCAACTGCAGCTTTGGATGATGATCTGGCCAGGTACTTGCTGAGAGAAGCGACTCGAGCCAACAAGACGCTCAGCGGAGTCGCCGACAAAAGAGCCCAATACTGACAGAGAGTATCTGCAAAGAAAGGTGGATATTTTTACATGGTAGCGGAGCTCCGGCTCTGTGAAAGGGAGGAGCTCAAAGAGTGAGGAGACGAATGCAACCGCAAGGGGACAGTCCGTCGTCCTTCGGTAGCAGTTTGCCAGGCATGCAGCCTGGGCAACAAAATCAGGCGGGAGGAGCCGCTCCCCAACAAGTTCCACAGACTCAGCAAGGTGGAAACGCTGGAAGTGGTACAATGAGCGTGGAGTTGTTGATGCAGACAGTTCAGGCTACACTGGCTATAGTGCAACAGCAGAATCAGATGATGACTGCGCAGATGGAGCAGAGTGCGAAGTTGCAAGAAGAGTTGCGACAAGCAAAAGAGAAGGTTGACCGCGGAGGAAGTTCGACGAGTCAAGCGGACCCAAGCAGCAGTGCATCAGGAGCAGGAGGACCGGCTGGAAGACCCATGGACTCAAAGTGGTTACCGCCTATGCCGGTAGCAACGCATGGGAAGTGGCATTCAAGGGTGCAAGAGATTTCTGGTTTTATTTCTTGGCTGGAAGCTTTCACGTCGTGGGTCTCTTTGTTGCATGACAATTATGCAGATGAGATTCGACATGTGGTGACTTCGTCAAATGCATGGACATACCGGCATTCGACCATGTCCACGGAACAGGTTGCAAGGAGTCAAAGGTTGATGTACCTCATCAAGCAGGCGTTCACCGGATGTGCACGTGTTGACCAACTGCTGAAGCATATGGAATCAGAGTTTCCTTTGCAAGAAGTCAGTGGGTATGAGGCCATTAAAAGACTTTTAGGAGAGTTTTCCTTGCAATCCCGGGCTGAAGCTTTGCATTATCGACAGCAGGTTATCGCATATGAGGCTGCGGACAACGGTCGAGTTCTGGACGTGGTGAGGTCTATTGAAGCAGAAGTGCATCAGTTTCATACTATGATTCAGGCATGCAGAACGGTGGCAAATGCGGCAAATGAATCTGTTCAGGCTTTGAAGGAAGCAGTTCAGGTGTATGATACGAAGACGCGAGTTTTGGGGGACACAGCAGCAGGGCTCCGGTCAATTGGGTACGGACAAGCTCACAAAGGAAACGGGAAGAACAAGAAAGGGAAGGACAAAGGAAAAGGCAAGCAGCATGAGAAAGGAAAGGCAGGAAATGACAAAGGCAAAGGAAAAGGCAAAGCAGGAGATGGCAAAGGGAAAGGAAACTCAGGAGGAAATGCAGGAACAAGAAGCCAAACGCCGAATAAGGAGATGGAATGCTGGAATTGTGGAAAGAAGGGACATTTTTCCAAAGACTGCTGGAGCAAGAAACCCTCTCCAGGGGCAAAGGAGGAAAGCAGCGAGCATTATGTTCATTCTGGAAGCTATGATCGTGATCAACCAGGTCCTGAGCTGGTGATGGCCATTTCTGCGCATGAGTTTTCTGAGGAGCACCGAATTCATGATGGTAGGATTTTTTCCATGGATTCATCTGTAGCCGCCGCGAAATTGTGGCTCATAGATTCGGGTGCGACATGTCATGTTGTTGCCACCAAGTTCCTTCATTTGTTTACGGTTGTTCGGTCCCATGAGGGAGAGCCCACCCTTACATCTGCGTCAGAACACCAGATCAAGACCCGAGGAGTGGTTGACCTGAAAGTGCCGTTTAACGGCAGATGGTGCATAATGTCCCGGGTCGTGGTGGCAGATTTGACGTTCAATGTGTTGAGTCCATGTGCGTTGACGAAGACAGGATGGCAAACCATTCTCGGAAAGCCCAAGCAGAGTGTGATTAGGAAGGGGTCCGTGAAGATTCCTCTCAAAATCTTGGACCGAGGATGGTGGGCCGTGTCGGATGTGAAGGTGAAAGATGATCCAGTTGCGATGGAAGTTGATGCTCTGAAGAGGGCAAACAAGTTGAGTGCAAAGGTTGAGAAGGAGAAGGCTTCGGGAGAAAGCCAGTTGAGACATGTGGTTGAGAAAGCTTGTGAAGTTGAGCGGGACCTCGACGACAAGGAATGCCCCTGCCACCGCGGAGTGGGGTCGGCGGAGACTCAGAAGAAGGAAACGCAGCAGTGTCGCTCTGCTCTTCTCATCCGCCCGGTCTCGGAAACGTCGGCGGTGAAGGAAACGAGGTCTGAGGTTCGAAATAACAAGTTTTGGGAAATCTCGGATGGACCCCTTTCGTATCTCGTCCGAAGCGTTTGTAGCGCCATGGATGGTGATCCCGGAGTGGTGGAAACCCAGAGTGAAGCCACGACGATCGATTGAGGTCAGGTGGAGAGTCCCTCTCAAACGTTGCACGGTCTAGGAAAAGGCAAACAGGTTGATAAGAGCCAAGTGAAGCCGAAGAGTCAAGTGAAGCCATTGGTTGTTGAGGATCCCTTCCCTTGAGAGGCAAAGGAAACAAGGTTTCAGATGAGGTTGCTGGACGTGAGGTGAGGCGAAAGGCTGAGAAAGGTAAAGGTGTTGGGACACCCTCGGAGGGTGTGGTAGGATTTGATGAATGTTCCGGATGTGTGCCCGTGCTGAGGCCAGGAAGTGCAGCAAGCCCAGAGTGCCTGAAAGTGCATGAAACGGAGATAGGTGGCAGTGTGAAAGGACATGAGGTAGGCTTGCAGTTGAGGTCAGCCAGCATGAGCGAATTTAGGAAGGTAGGCCAAAGGTCCAATCGCTTCGCCCCGCTGCAGGAATCAGAAGAGTCAGGTGAAGCCGTTGGGGTTCCAATTGAGGGAGTTTCTCAAAAGGACCCTTTTGATGAGAGAGGTCAGGAGAAAGGTCACGAGGCTGTACGTGTGAGTAGGCAAGAGGTCAAAGGACATGAGGTTGAGAGTGAGAGTCAAATGACACTCGGCAGAGCGAAATGCGTGGAGCCGGGGAACCGAGAAGTGGCTGAGCAACCGACTGAAAAGGGTGAAAAGGGAGATTCAGAGTCGCTTCGCGAATCCGGCATCCTTAAAGGCAGTCGCCTCAGCCGCCGAAGCTGTAAGAGAGAACAGATGCTACCGGCGCGCGCATCAGGTCAGCATGGATTTGTTCGGGCTGGACACCAAGAGCAACCTGATCAGGGAGACCAAGAGCGCAGGAGGTTCGGCTCATCTTCGGAAATGGGAAAAAGCCCCTTGTCGAAAACGGAATCAGGTGGTGTCACACCGGATTTGTATGTTGAGGGGTTTGCCCAAAGTGATAGATGTAGAAGAAAGAGGAGACTCCGGTCTCTCAGGGCAGGCTGGTTCAAGCCAGATGCCGCAAGAGTCAGAAGCAGGGTCCGCCCAACGAGCGCCTGAGCCAAGTGAACCTTGGACGATCAGTGAGAAGCTCAAGACTCTGGCCCTGGTCAGCAGTCAGAAGAACCAAATGTTCCGTTGGAAGATTTGATAGGGACGGATGCTGAAGGAAGAGCGTTGGAGAAACATTTGAGTCAAGGTCATTGGCCGTATGAGTGTGGCGCCTGTCGCAAGGCCAGAGGACGAATCCCTGCACGTAGAAAGGAACGGGATGAGCACTTCTCTGTTGGGGTGGATTTTCTGTTCTTTGGGAGGCACATCCGTGTGTTGTTGATGGTAGTGATTGGCACGAGCATGATGCATGCGATGGTGATGAAGGAAAACCATCAAGAGAATGTCAACAGGTTAGTGCAAGGACTTGTTGAAATTGGGGCCACTGGGCTGCAGATTGAATGGGTTGGAGATCAGGAAGAGGCCTTAGCTCATTTGATCCGAGATGCAAGTAAGATGAAACGTTTTCCTGCCACAGGATCTCACTGGAGAGCCGCGCCGATCAATCGGCCACAGGCGAAAGCGAGAAACTTCGGTTTCTTGAAGGAATGCCGATGGTGAATGAACAAAATGCTCAGTCCAGTTTTGATGTGAGATTTGGTGGAGGACAGGTTCGCTTGTTGGTGCCCTTTCGGGTTCTGGACGAAATGACGGGTCTGGAACTGGAGCAGATGCAGGTAGAGCAAGGGATGAGAACTGAAGTTGAATCCCTTGACAAACTTCAGGTAGGAGTCCTGATGAATGAAGATAATGCCAAACTGCTTGCCAAGAATGTGGGCATCAAGATTTTGGGGAGTAGATGGGTAGTGACCCAGAAGAGCTGAAATTGTTCGGTAGTCAAAGATTTCCGCACAGGTGGTGGACCGGCGCTGTTGGAAGGTATATACTCTCCGACGTCAAGCATTGAGGCGATGAGATTCGTGCTGGCGTACGCTGCGGGAGTACAAGGACATTTGATGACGTTGGATGTGTCCACGGCGTTTATGTATGCTCCACTAAAAGAAGAGGAAGTAGCCATTGTGAGGTTGCCGACTAGTGTGCAATTGCTGAGTGAAAAGGGAGAATCCAAGGAAGGATCATGGTGTCAAGGAAGAGCTCTGTTAAGGCTGTACAAAGCAATGAATGGTTTGAGGCAAGGACCGCTGAGGTCGTTTGAGGAGATCTGTAGGACCTTGATGGAAAACGGAGCTGAGTCGACGTTTGAATCCACTCTGTTTCGGATACCCTGTAGAAATGGGGATTTGATTCTGGTGCTGGTTTACGTCGATGACGTGCTGGTTTGTGCACGAGCGAAAGTTCAGTGCGATTGGGTGTTTGATCTTCTGGCCAAGAGGTATGCCATCAAAAGAACTGAAGATTTGGAGGCAACATCCCCAGGAACTTTGAAGTTTCTGGGTCGTCGCATAGCCCGTGTGAGCCAGGATGGGCGCCTGAGCCTAGGACTAGACTCGGAAATCGTTCAAGGAGAACCTGAAACCCAACAGCACGCTCCCCGACCTCGAGAGGTACTACACGAAAGAGAACCAGAAGTTCAAGGACAGCAAGTTGTCTCCAGAGGCATATTCAAAGTACCGTAGAGTGCTAGGGCAATTAGCATGGGCAGCAATAACCCGATGCGATTTGCAATACTGTGTGAGTTTCTTGGCACGGTACCAGTCAGAGAGTACGTCCGCTGCGGAATCTACTATGAGGGTGGTTCTTAGATGGACTGTTGTACAGAACTTTCCAGCGGAATGTTTGGAAGATGAGTTTTTGTATGCTGGAGAGAAAATGGTTGTTGGCTACTGTGATGCTAGTTGGAACGTGACCTCGGTCACGGGATTTTGTTGCTTTGGAACGGGAGCATGTTGAAGAGTGGATCAAGGAAGCAATCCACTCCGGCGCTGTCAAGTCCTGAAGCGACTGCAAAAGAAGGTCTGGCGCTGTCGTGTTTGGTCCAAACTGCTCTTGAAGGAGTTCCGAAATCCCTGTTGGGGGAACCGCTGCAAGCAAGTAGTGATGTGGTGGTCTGGCTGAAAACGGACAGCACAAGTGCAACTTGCATTGCTAGCATGGCCGGTCTGTTGAGGCGTGTAAGACACTTGCAACTGCGAGTGGCCTTTTTACAACAGTTGGTCAGTGCTGGCCAAGTCGTTGTTGGGAGAGTCCCAGGGGCTGAAAACCCGTCGGATGGACTCACTAAGGGCATGACGAATGAAATGCTGGTGAACATGTGTCGGGCCGCTGGTTTGGAGTGTTTGGACTGGTTTGGGGAAAGTGAAAACATGCAAGAGGCCCAAGTTGTGAAGAGAACTGCTGACCATTGGATGGTAGGATCAGGTGGTTCGAGTGCATGTGAAACTGCGAAAGTCTTTGTTTTCCCCTGAAGGAACTGGTTGTCCTGTTTCTTTGACTGAGTTGACTGGAGAGAGAGAGACGGTTGTCTTGTTTGATGAAGGAGGCCGGTGTGTGATACGAGACAACTTGACCAATGAAAGAAACGAAAACAAGTCATTGGTAGGGAAGTGGAATGGTGAAACTCGTTTTGCCCGCCGCGCCTCGTGCAAGGAACCTCAATGCCAGGAGTCTTCGGCGGGCTCAAAGAAGACCATGAAACTGGTTTGGGGCCCTGTGGAGGAGATTGAGATCGAGTCCCGAGACTCGGGCATGCAGTCAGCGCTGCAAACTGATGCCCCAAAGATCAGCCGAAACCCTAAGGAGATGCATCAGCCTAGTGGGAACGGACCTTTTAGAGTCTGGGAAAATGAGTTGACGCGTTTGAAGAAAGGGGTGAAACTGGTCTTGTTTGAGGTTTGCTGTGCTGAAGAGTCAGGTTTGAAGGGATGGTCCAATGCAAACTCAGTTGCGTACTTTGGTCTCACAGAAGATCGGAGTGTGCTTGGAGGAAGAACTGGAGAATGGGTGAAGTTTGTTTTGGACATGTGTATGTGGCAAGATTTGAAGGTCCTGGTGCATTTCAGCACACCATGTACTGCGGGAAGCCCTTTCAGGCATTTGAATTTGCATTTGTACCCTCAGTATAAAAAGAAGTACCAGGCAAAGTTGCGCAAACACAGAGAGAGGTGGAAACAGATGCCAAATCTGTTTGAGCCGGAGAGGAGATGCGCTTTCGTGAAGGAGTGGCCAGAGCAGACGATGCTTTGGAACGAGAGAGTGTATAAGCAGAAGTCAGAGGCATATTGCATGAAACAGGAGGTGCAAGTGAGTCGTTGTGTGTTTGACGGGGTGTTTAAACAGTGGAAGTTTGTTTCAAACGAAGTTAGGGTAACCAAAGGTCTTGAAGGTTTTTGGTGTCCCGGTGAAGGAGGAAACCACTGGCATAAGCAGACTGGTCAAACATACAAAGGATTTTATCCTGCCGAGATGCGTGAGAGGCTCGGAAAGGTTTTTCTGAGCATCTAAGGTGCAATGGAACCTGAGTTGGCTCTGATTGCCATTTGGGTATTTGGAGTCATGACAGGGTGATGACATGGTGCGTCGGCCGTACACCATACCCGGAAAGGGTGTGTTTTTCCAGAGTGTGGGCTGATGGTGAAGTCAATGAAGTGGTAATTGTTAGCACTTCGGCAGAGTGCTGTCATTGGAAAGGTTGTGGCCATTTGAAGGGTCGCAAGGTACAGACGTTTCGTTTGTGCAAGGACTGTGAGAGAAAGCGACGCTGAGGCGCTATGGTGATGTGAAAGTGCTTGGCGCCTTGTGTGTGAGTTGGCATGGACGAGCATCAGGTCAAGAGGGGGTGTGAAAATAATCACCTCTGATTATATGTGGATGACCTGATTGCCCGTGACAAGTTTGTGAGATCTGTGCTTGGTGAGTTCGGTGACGTTGTTCATCCCAATCCCTAAGATAGGATGTTGAGCGTGTTTGTAGAGACTCATTGGACGATGTCTTGCAACAACGGTGACTGTTGGTCAACTCCTTGTTAAGTCTTGGGTGAGTCGACTTGGATGTTTTGGGTCGGAGCTTTGTTTTGGGTCCCTTTGGAACTTGAAT